CTTACTGACCAATAGCAGATATGATAGGAAATGTATTGAGTCTGTATCAATTCCTATCGCTTTGGTGAAGATGGCCATTTTAACAATGTTAATTTCTCCAGTCCATGAACAGGTAATAGCTCTCCATTTCTTTGTGTCTTCTGTTTATTTTAATAATGTCTTGTAATTTTCATTGTACAGGTCCCTCATCTTCTTTCTTAAGTTTACTCCTAGATATTTTTTTTAAAGATTTATTTTTATTTATGCATCTAAGAACTGGGGTGTAGGCCAGAGGTGTGGGGATGGGTGAGAGAATTCACCAAACAGAGTGGGAAGCAGAACAGGCAGATCTATTGAAATAGGGGAACCTGCTGAGGGAGCAGCAGGTGAATAGGGGAGGTCTGCTAAGCCATGTGGTTTAGCTCCCTGGGCAGTAGCAAACTCAGGCTGCAGTGGCTGGTGATAGCGTGATAGCACTGACACTTTAACACCTGCACCACCAGGGAGGCCCCCTAGGTATTTCTTTTTGATAAGGTTTTTATTTTTTTTAATTTTTAATTTTTTTTTTTAAGATTTATTTGTTTATTTATACAAGCACTGGGTACAGTCAGAAGCGCGGGAGGGTGAGAGAATTCGCCAGAGCTGGGAGCAAAGCAGGCAGAAGGACCGAAGTACACTGCTGAGGGGAGCAGCGGGCGGCAGGAGAGGTCTGCGCACCATGTGGGACCCTCCTCCGGTGGCCGGGGAGCAGCCGGGGATTGAACCGGCGCTGCAGAGGCTGCGGGCAGCTTCGCAACCCAGCGCTCAACTGCTGCGCCACCGGGGAGGCCCTTGATAAGATTTTTAAATGTGATTGTTTTCTTGATTTCTTTTTATCTCTTTGTTTGCATATAGAAACACAACTGATTTTTGTAAATCAATTCTGTAACCTGCCTCTTCACTGTATTGTTTGACTTCCAGCTAAAAAAAGGCTACAAGAGATAGAGGTAGACATTATACAATGATGAGGGATCAATGCATCAGGAAGACAACACTCATCATTATATATGTACCACCTGAAGGAGCACCTTTATTTCTCACTCATATCTGAAGGAGAGTCTTGCAGGATATATATTCTTCACTAGCAATTTGTTTTGAGTACATCCCTCCATTCTCTCTTCCCTTTATAAAAGACTTCTTAGAGAAGTCTGATGTCAGCCTGATGGAGGTACCTTTATAGACTGACAGCTTTTTTTCACCTTGCTGCTTTCAGTATTCTTTCTTTGTCTTGATAGTCTCAGAACTCTGTCCTCTTCAGGTCTCATTACATTTAGAGAGAATGTTTCTTTTGGCTTCATGGATTTATATATTTACTTAATTCCCCAAGCTTGGGAAGTTTTCCTTTTATTTCCTTAAGTTCTCTGTTCCCCCCCAAAAATATTTTTTTTTTTCTCTGTTCCTTTCTCTCTTCTCTTTCTGGAATACCCTTATTATTGCCTTTACTAATGGGACTGAATAGCTCTCAAAGTGTTTCATTTTTTTTCCCCCTTCATATTTCTTTCTTCTTCAACCTGGATCCTTTGGGAATTATTGCCAAGATCACTGATTTGTCCCTCCACTTAGTTTAGTCTACTTTCATATCTTTCTTCTTCTTCTTTTTTTTATATTTAAAGAGCAGGTTTATTAGAAAAGGGATAGGATCATAAAAGACACTTGCATAGACACAAGCAGATAGGAGGAGCTGCCCCAAAAGGGACAGGTTTGCTGAGAGAGGCCTGAATGGTTGCAGGCGGGCGGCCTTGAGGAGAGCTGCGTCCACTGAGGGAGGTCAGTGAGGAGAAGTCCCGGCAGGTACAGGTCACGGACAGGCAGGAGGCTGCTGCCCTGCAGAGGGAGAGAGTTGGCGAAAGGAAGCACCTGCATAGTCACAGATGGGGAGACGGAGTGCTGCCTGCTTTCATATCTTTCTGAAGGGCTTGTGGATTTTATTTTTTCCAAAATACCAACTCTCATGACACTAATCTTTTGGAGTTTTCATTTTCTACTTCATTTATTTGTTCATATTTTTATTATTTGTAGTGTCCATCTTTGTCCCTATTACCTTTTGTGGCTGAAGGTCTTTATCAGATATAATATCAATTCCTGCTCTTCTCTCTGAGTTGACATGAAACATTGTGCTCCAACCTTATATTTTATTTTTGTCTTTCAGTTTTAAATGTGTCTCTTGTAAACAAATTATAGATGGCTGAAACTTTTTAACTCAGTTTGTCATTCTTGCCTTATAATTGGCTAGTTCAGGCCACTCACATTTAGGGTGATTGGTTGATAGATGGTATTTACTTTCACTTTTTTTTAAATTTATCTTTCTGTTGTTTCTTTTTCCATTTGCTTCTCTTTTTTTATTAGTATACTTTTCCCTAGTGATTCTATTTTTTCATTTCTTCTGCCTCTTTTCTAAATTTTTGGTTAGTGGTTACCATGGGGATTATAACAAACTTAACACATCTTAAAAAGGCCATTATAAGCTGTTGTCAGCTCTCCAATTTTAACTGTACAGGTTACATGCATTTCTTCCTCCTCTTTGTTTTTTGGTCAACTCATAATATTCTTGTTTGTTTCTGATTTTGTATTCCTATTAACATTTTGCTCATGGTTTTTTGTTGTGATTTTTCTTTCCTTGTAGAACTCCTTTCAACATTTCCTGTATACTCGCCTTCTGAAATGTATATATGCGTAGGTTCATAATTGCTGGATCATATGGTAAGACTAGGTCTAGTTTTGTGGGAAACCACCAAACTTCCAAAGTAGTTGTACTATTTTACATTTCCACAAGCCAGGAATGAGTTTTCCTCTTGCTTCACATCCTTACCAGTCTTTGTTGTTGCTAGTGTTTGTACTTTGACCATTCTTGGTAAGTGCATGGTGGTTATCTCATTGATTTAGTTTTAATTTCCTGTTCACATAGTAGACTGCCTTATCATTATTGCCATCTGTATATCTATTTTGGTTGTGTGTCTAAGTCTTTACCCATTTTTTAATTGAGTTATTTATTTTCTTACTGCTGAATAAATCTTAATATACTTTGGATAACAGACTTGTATCAGATATGTCTTTTGCAAATATTTTCTTCTAGTTTATGACTTCTCATTTTCTTCAAGGGTTGACTTTTTATTATAAAATATTTTTATACCTTTTTCCTTGTAGTGCATCAAAATGTATTTCAGTATTTTTTTTATCTATGTATCTTTATGTATCTATTTCTTTTTTTATAATAGATTTTTTTTTTTAATAGAGGCATGTTTTATTTATTTATTTGTTTGTTTGTTTATACATGCACTGGGTACAGTCAGAAGCGTGGGAGGGTGAGAGAATTCACCAGAGCCAGAGCGGGAAGCAGAGCAGGCAGAAGGACCGAAGTACACTGCTGAGGGGAGCAGCGGGCGGCAGGAGAGGTCTGTGCGCCATGTGGGACCCTCCTCCAGTGGCCGGGGAGCAGCCGGGGATCGAACCTGTGCCACAGAGGCTGCGGGCAGCTTCGCAACCCAGCGCTCAACCGCTGCGCCACCGGGGAGGCCCTGTATCTATTTCTTTATGTATTTATTTTGAGTTTCCAGTGTACAGCATACATTTATTTTGACTTCCTTAAAAATCCCTTACCCAACAATCCTTTTTGATTGGTTATCAAATCAAATCTTTTAGGAATTAATGTTTGCGCCTTCTCCCCTCCCCACTTTATTGAATTTTCCTTCTCATGTTTCTTTTAACAACCAAGGAAATTTATATTTTTATAAAACACAAGTGTTTTGGTATTAAACGTAACACTTGTCACACCAATTTTTTTCTTCCATCTTTTTACTAATTAGCAATTTTTACTAATCTGTTTTACTAATAAGTATTTTATACTTATTTTTACTAATTCAGCTCAGAAAAGATTGAGCACAAGTTCAAACACACTGATACAGCTCAGGATGCAAATTAGGATAAAACATGGGCCTGGGTAGACATCAGACTTTTATAATTCAAACAACTATATGGAATTTGCTTTATTTTCATCCTTTTTCACTTCTTCACATCACTTAATTTTTTACGATAGTAACTTTAACATTTTAGAATTATCTTTTTTATATCATTGTCATATATTCGTATTGGGCATACAGATGCTTGATACTTTCTCTGTAGCTATACTAATCTTAATAAGCATTTTACTTTCCCATTCCAACGTTAAAGGAAATAAAATAATTTATGCAACTAGCAAGCTTCCTTATTCCTTTAGAAAAATTTAAAAAACTGTGTCAAACAGGCATTTCCCTGTTTGCTTGTTTCCTTATGTTTTGTTTTCCCTTACATGTGAAAGTTTCTAGAGTCTGGATTTGCAGGGGTTTCTGGTTTAGCTAGGCACTGCAGTGCTGGGAAGAAGTCTGTACCCCAGTTTTGATGAGCAGTTTGCTGTGTATATAGCAGTTTTCAGAACTTTAAGTCTCATGAAATTTCGAAACAGATTTAGAGGGTTGCCAACTTGGACATGTTAAAGACTTAAGTGGAGTGGGGAGGTGATCCTTTACTACTACCTTGATTTCTTATAAAGAATATATAGTGTACGTATGATCTCAGACTACAGAAAATGTTCCCCTAGCAGAGAACATGTGATGTACACATATACTCACATTATCTTGTCCTGATTTCTTTCATTTTCCTGAGAACCAGTGACAGGTTCCTCACAGAGTAGCCACCATCCATAGGCTTGTGTACTCTGGCAAGGTCTAGAACTGTTCTTCCCATGTAAGACTTGTCCTGGGTGTCAGTCATTCCTAGCTGGCTTTCCCTGAAGTTCATTTGCAGGCCTTCAGGACACTTTTCAGATTGGCCAGCCAAGGATTTGTACCAGTGTTTGCTGAGCAGCACACATTTTTAAAAAGTCAGTTTCTTGGTCAGCTAGCCCAAGAATGTATACTAAAAGTATACAAATAACTTTGGAAAATCACCCACTACTGCCTTTTACTGGAATGGCTTATAATTAGAATCCTGTTACTTTTCCCCTCTAGCGGTTTTGCGAGTGGCCGGTTCCCTACAGAAGAGCACAGAAGTGATGAAGGCCATGCAGAGTCTTGTGAAGATTCCAGAAATCCAAGCCACCATGAGGGAGTTGTCCAAAGAGATGATGAAGGTAACCTGGAGATGACCCTGCGTCCCACTCCAGATGACAAGTCATGCTAGACACAAATTCCTTTAAGGACTGAGGAGCATATATTAACATTGGTTGATACCACCTGAGTTGAGCTGAAACTGGCCCGAGTGCAAGAGTACCCCATAGAAGAAATGCAGGTATACCCAGAACTCCAGGGGAGGCAAGGGGCGCAGGAAACAACTGTGCAGGACTGAGACAGCTAGGAGTATGAGCAAAGAGACAAAAAATAACCTAGTCCTCTGCTCTGGGGGTGTGTTAGTGAAACTGGCAAGGAGGTGGTTCTAGATCAGAGATTGGCAAACTTTCTGAAAAGGGCTAGATAGTAAATGTATTTTACAGTTTGTGGGCCATGCATCTCTGTGCTATGGTATACACATATTCGGAACCATACTCGAGCTAGGATGTATTGAACCTATTTCACAGTAGCATCCAGCACTAAGATGCCAACTGCTCACTCAGGCAAGAGGGCTCCACCTATGTGACCTTTACTGTGAACTTGTTCATTTTGGTTGAGAGGAAAAGGTCTGAGAATAGGCAGGATTTGGTACCAGTTAGTCATATAATTAAGTGAACTGGGAACAGAAAGGCAGGGAGAGCTTGCTTTTAATCTGATCCCATCAGCAGCCTGATCAATAAGAGACATGCCTTGGTTGAGGGGAACCAAGGCTGGAGCTACCATAGGCTACCAAGGCTGGTGCTACCATAGGCTACCAAGGCTGGTGCTCCTTGACTCGTGGGAACTTCAAGTACAAAGCAAGGAGCTCAGACTTGCAGGTTGTAAAGCAGTCAGGATTTTTCTCTTTAGGCAGCTTCCCAGCTTTCCCCCTTCCTACCTCTTCTGCCCACAATGTCTTGGGCCCCTTTCTGAAGTTAAGGGAAATAGTTCCAACCTTTTACTTCAACAACGAAACCCTCAGTAGGACCTTACCTGGAAACTGAGGACACTGCTCAGCAAGACAGACTTGCAGGGCCTGTGTGTTGTTAGAGAGCAGTTTTCTTGTGCCGGGCAGTGGTGCCACGCTACTTTGACAGCAAAAGTTGTCTGGCTGCCCTCAGGCTGCCAGGCCCAGGACTCACAGCAGAGTGGGCAGTCCTTCCTTTGTTGGGTCCTGAAATACTGTTAGATAAATCAGATTTTGGTGAACTGACTGATTCCTATCAACCCATTAGATTGATCCTGCCAGCAGGTGTAACCGGGACATGCTGCAGTTCTCTTCAACCCTTTTATGGGCTTTGAGGGAGTGCTACCCTGCTCTTGGTATTTGCTGTCACAGTAGTGTCTGCTGTGATTCTAACCAGTTTTCATACCATGCTTCAGCCCTGCACTCACAGATTATATTTGGCAATGTTAGGGCAAATGCTTCCCAAGAGAGCTCAGGGTATATGCTCATCTATCAGCAAGTTGCTCCCCAAGAGCTGCCATCATAGTCGGGGTTACCCTGAGTATAGTTTGTGACTCTACTGGTAGCCATTAGCGCACCTTCTAATTTTGGTGCTGTATTTAAAGAGCGGTGTCCTTTTGGCCTTCTGCAGGACAGCATCCAGTGTTGCCTGTGACCACCTAGGTTGCCTTTTAGCCCTTAAAAGGGCGAATGGGCTTGGAGACAACAGAACTCAGCCTGATGCTGAACCTAGAGAAGTGTCGTTGGGAGCAGATTTAACTGAGGGAAGTGACAAGGTTTATTCTGTCTTCAGGCTGGAATCATAGAGGAGATGTTGGAGGACACCTTTGACAGCATGGATGATCAGGAAGAAATGGAAGAAGCAGCAGAAATGGAAATTGACAAAATTCTGTTTGAAATTACAGCAGGTATGACAGATTCATCTTCCTTTGTCTCACTTTTTATGGCAGTCTATGTTCACTAATTTACCTAGTAGGCTATTCTGTGCTTTTTTAGATTGTGCAAGTAAGTACAGGTTTCCCTAGCCATCTTTAAAAACACATAAAGAATTTCCTACCGTTTTATAAATGCTAAAGGGAAATACTGCTCTCACAGACTGCTGTTAGCCGCTTAAATTATTACTTTCCTGAAAATGATACGGGAGTAGCTGTCAGTAGCCCATGACCTAACACTGACATGAGGATGTCCTGAAAGATTTAAGGATGTCTGAAGTAGCATTATTTATAATATTGAAAAGTGTGAAATGAGCAATAGAACATTGATTATGTTTTAATAGACTATAGTTGGGATCGATGATATGTAGTCATTAACATATATATTCATTAACATGGAAAGGGGCTTACAATAAGGAGAGTCTTGTTACTGAAATACACTTTTTTTTGCAAAAAAAGCCTGTCTTTAGGAAAAGTCTGAAAGAGGGAAAAATAAAAAGTTATCTTTGAGGTATCTTGAGGTTTTAGATTTTATTTCTGGATTTTCTGGGTTTTATGTTAAAAATAATTGATGAGATTTCATTTTTGTAATAAATTGTTGGGAGAAAGACTAGTTCAGAAAGACATTTTTGTAAATACTTAGAAACAATTTAGTTTTATTTCAAAGATTTAACATCTTCACAAAATCTTCAAAAATCAAGTATTCAATAGTATATAGGAACTTAAGAGTTTTAGCACTAAAATACTTATTCAGAAACCTTAGACTAATTCTTGCAGAAAAGGTAGGGAAGATGAAGAATCACGTCTTAAACCAATAGTTTGCTTATCATTGCTGTTTCTTTTAAGGGGCCTTGGGCAAAGCACCTAGTAAAGTCACAGACGCCCTTCCAGAGCCCGAACCTTCAGGAGCAATGGCCGCCTCAGAAGATGAGGAGGAGGAAGAGGCTCTGGAAGCCATGCAGTCCCGGCTCGCCACGCTCCGCAGCTAGGGGCTGCCCGGCTCAGGCTCTCCTCACGGCCGCCCGCCGGCTCGCGCACTCCGCTGAGGCAGCCGCCGTCTTGTGTATCTCTCGCACTACAGCTCTGTGGTGAGGCATTACATTCTGGAGATTCTCTGCTAATCTCTCTTCAGTCTCCGCGGAGGTTTTGGGATGTCAACAGGATCTGAGTGGTGATGTAATAAATGCATCATTTTCAGGAGTATTAAGTATTTTGGGGGGAAGGCAAGGAAATCTTAAGAAGCACTTCTGTGAATAGTTGATTGACTGTTGAGGACTATACATTTGCCTGTAAAAGACTATATACATGGACCTTAATAAATTCCTGCTTTAACACTTGGTCTCACTCTAGAACGTGCACTGAACTCTCAAGATGTTTGCTGCCCCAGAATGGTTTATATTTGTCCTTGATAAGAGGCGCTGTAGCCTGGCATATGAGACATAAGAGCCTAGAGTAAATTCTGTCTAGTTTTGTAAGAAACTGCCAAACTGCCTTCCAACTGGCTGTACTTTACATTTCCACTAGGTGTGAGTGCTTCTGTTGCGCCACGTTCTCACTGGTATTTGCTGTTGTTTTGAATTTTGACCATTCTGATGTGTATAGTGCTGGTCTCATTGTTGTAATTTGCAATTCCCTATTACAATGTAGAACATCGTTCATGAACTTTTTTGCCATTGTATTTCTTCCTGATCAGGTAGGTGTCTCTTTGGGTCTTTTGCCATTTTCTTTGAGTAGTTCATTTTCTTACTGAGTTCTAAGAGTTCTTTGTGTAAGTCTTGTATCAGATGTTTTTTACAACCAATTTCCTCCCAATCTGTCTTGTCTTCTCATTCTCTTCACAATGTTTCACAGAGCAATTTCCAATTTTGGTGTCTAACTAGCCAATTAATTCTTTCGTGATCATGCCTTTACTGCTGGCTTTAAAAAGCCATCACCAGGCCTCCCTGGTGGTGCAGGGGTTAAAGACACAGCACTATCAAGCTATCGCCAGCCACTGCAACATGAGTTCGATCCCCAGCCTGGGAACTGACTCACACGGCACAGCAGAGCTCTCCTGTTGTGCCCACTGCTCCCCTCAGCAGTGCATTTCAGTAGATCTGCCTGTTCTGCTCCCCACTCTGTCTCTGGTAAATCCTCTCACCCCTGCATCTCTGGCCAGTACCCCAGTTCTTATATGCATAAATAAATCTTTTTTAAAAAGGTCATTACCATACCTAAAGTTACCTAGAATTCCTGTTATCTTTAGGAGCATTACAGTTTTGTGTTTTACATTTAGATGTGCCAACAATCTTATTTCCTGTAAAAGCTGTAAGGTTTATGTCTAGGTTCATATTTTTGCATATGGATATTGTTATTCCAGCACTGTCTTAAAAGTCAGGAAGGTGTCAGTCCTGCAGATACGTTTTTTCATATTGTATTGGCTGTTCTGAGTTTTTTGCCTCTCCACATAAGCTACAGAATTCACTTGTTAATATACACAAAATAACGAGCTGGGATTGATTGGGATTGACGTGAATCTAAATCAAGTCAGAAAAGTTGACATACCGATGGTACTTTTATGATTCCATTTATCAAACTAGCTTATTTACAGAAATGAAAATTAAAACTTTTATCAGGGTAGATGGGCTGATGGACAGTGATACTTGGTTAAAACCAATATAAAACAGGTTTCAACTTTCCAAGTCTTTTATATGCTATTTCAAAATTTACTTTCTAAGACAGTTTTCTTCTGAGCTGCCAGAATACCATCTTATAGTCACTGAACCATTTCAGAAATAAAAATCTAAACCACAGAAGTGAATCTAAAGTAAGTATTGATTAATCCAGAATCTGAGAACTTTGCAGGTTTAAAATGGTAGGTGGTGCTGGCCTTTGCTTTTTTGTTGTTTATAATGTACTTGATTATAACAGACCTTGGAATTGGAAGTATCTGTGAGACTGCTTTGAGACCTTTTATTATATATATATTTTTTAATTGTATATTTTTTTACATCTTTTATTTTTGCACAATGTATGCATTTTCATCTTGGATAAATTACCCATATAATTCCCACCACCCCCCCTTATTTTGACCCTAATCCCTTCCCCTCCCCTCCATAGTGTGTTTCTGGTTTATAGTTGCTTGTTGATTTTGATTTTTACTTTATTATAATTAGTCTTTTTCCTGGTCCCTTATTTAGGTTTTCTAAATTCCTGCTATGAGTGAGACCATCCGGTATTTTCCTTTTTCTTTCTGGCTTATTTCACTGAGCATGATCCCTTCCAGCTCCATCCATGTTGCTACAAATGGCATGAGCTTATCTTTTTCGATTGCTGAGTAATATTCCATTGTGCATATGTACCAACACTTGATCCAGTCATCGATTTTTGGGCATTTGGGTTGTTTGCATAGCGTAGCTATTGTAAACAGTGCTATAAACATAGGGGTGCAGGTGCCCTTTTGAATTAATGATTCTGTGTCGTTTGGGTAAATACCTAAGAGTGGAATTGCTGGATCATCTGGAAGCTCCATCTTTAGCAGGTTGGAGGCCTATCATAATGGTGGTTTCCTCTAAAGAGTTTTCCTAGTCTTTTGGCTTTGGGACATTTCTGAGAAACAGTGCCACTCCTACTGACATAGGCAGATATTTCTATTTATTCTTTTCTGGTAATGTTTTTGAAAGCTCATGCATTGCAGGTTTTGACATGAAGTGGGCTGGCATTAGCCAGTGATCTTTGTCCTCCTACCATAAAAACCCCAAGCTCTGGGCATCTATACTACTTGATTTATTTCAGTTTAACTCCTTTTACTATACAGGTACCTTTGACTAGGAGACTCTAAGCTATATTAGAAAGGCAGCTTCTTTATAAACTCAAACTTCCAACAGTTTCGTTTTCCTTTTTACAGTTTCAAATTATAAAGAACCAGAAGAAAACAGCATATTTTGATCTATTACCTTTTTTTTCTTAGAAGCATTTAACCAGTCACCATTTGAGTTTTGTTTAATTTTCACTTCTAAATTTAGTTAATTGGTGGGGGTTTTTTTTTTTTTTTTTTTTTTTAAAAGTGTGGCAGGGTTTCCACCTGGATGGGGAGACACTTATTTCCATGTTAGCACTGCAGTAATCATTCAGAAATCATTATAGTATCTGTTTTTCCTTTTAAGATTATTTTCTGGGGCAATCTCATACTCCACTAACATATAATGGTGGGTATGCAGAATCCACAACCAGAGGAGAAGGCCAATAAGCTGAGTCAAAATTATTATATGAATACTTTAATGCAAAATGCTTAACACTTAAAATTAGCAAAGCTTCACTTAAGTTAAAACTCCATTTAGCTAAAGATGGTTAACCCCAAGAATTGTACAGTAGTTAATTTCTGCTATATAATGTCAGTTCTAATGCAATGCAGTAAGAACTGCATCATTAGCTGTCATTTCCTCCATTGCTCTTCTGAATCCTAAGGGATCAGAGAGAGGGTACTCAGACACAAAACAAAATACAACCCAAATAAACTGTGCAGTGATTCCTAATAGTTATAAAAAACCCATTTTGACTACGCTGTTTAAACAGCTGGGGAATAACTGCAAGTATTGTTCCAGAGCTGATAAGAGGTTTTGTTTTTACAGCTTGGTAGAAGTTCTGCACTAGGTGAGAAGTCACAGTTTAAGGATGCATGTTCTGTAAATAGTTACTACATATACACATTTAGTGTCTGTAAACACTAGAAATATACATAGACAGAGTACCCTCACCAGCTGGGTACAATTTAAAAAAGAAGATGAGGTAACATGAATCTCAAAGTCCACAGGAATCCTGCCTGAAGAGTTTGAACAGCTGCCAGTAATTCACGTCCAATGTGCAGGGTTAAGGTGTCCCTGGGACCCTCAGGGTTTGACAAAACTGGATTCACTGGCTTTCAGCATAGCGACGGCATCTTTCACTGCATGGTAGATAACATTCTTCACCTAAAAGAATAGCAGAAAGTCTAATGAATTAAACTTAAAAACTGTCACTAAGAATCAACTTTTCCATCAATTTTACTACCATTGCCTCAGAATTGCAAGCAATATTCAGTGAAATGTTAATATAGGGACACCTCATATTTGGGGGTTCCAGAACACTACAATAAAGTGAATATTGCCATAAAGCAAGTCACAGGAGTATTTTGGTTTCCCAGTGTATATATATAAAAGTTCTGTTTACACTATTACACTATTACTGTAGTCTATTCATGTGCAATTGCATTCTTAAAATAACAATGTACGTACATTAATTTAAAAATACTTTATTGCTAAAAAAAAGCTAGCCATCATCAGAACCTTGAGAAAGATTTCTCTACTGGTATAAAAAGCACACTGGGAAGTACAATAAATTAAGGTATGCCTGTATCTGAATGGCCACTGAACTCCTTTAAGCCAGTGTTTCATATACATTTTAATAGTGTATCCTCTGAAGACTTAAAAGTTAATTTTCCCCTTCCACAGGCTTTGATGCCACATTATTCTACCTTTCAGTGAGTGCAACAAAAGGGAAGTCCCAGGGTAGTTTCATTTTTCAGAGTTTACAATCTCCTAGTTTTCCAAATATGAAATTATGTATCACATAAGCCACAGTGGAAAACCTCTAAAAATCTCACCCTCTCAGACACTCTTTTGATCCCCAGGTGCTACTGTGCTTCACCCAAGGCTGAGAGCAGCAGCACTCAAGGTGTTTGTTCAAAACCCCAGTCTCGCAGCTGAGCCAGGACAGAAATCAATACTAAAACCTTCCTCTTCAGGCATAGCCCCATATAAACAGTAACAAACCAAGGTGAGATTTCCTCTCTATTTTCCTCTTCTGCCTTAACTAGACAAATACACAGTATGGCCAAGCTCAGTTATAAGGTCAGAAATGGGCCATGAAAGAGTAGGCCATCAGAGAATGCCAGATCAATGCCATTTTTACCTGTAATTTATCTTCATGATTGGTATGTGTCTGTGACAGATAACGGAATTCCTGAGTAAGCCAGAAGCAGTGTTTAACATGCTCTGGAGAAACAAAATCTTCAGCCACTTTGATACAGCTATATAAGTTATGAACCTAGAAAACACCAAGCCACATCAGTAATACACACAATAGTTTGTGGTATAAAAGAATAAAGAATGAAGTTATATTCTTACCTGATGTGGTGCTCCTGCTGGGATAAATACCACATCCCCAAGAAATTGAACAATAGCCCAGCCTTGAACTCCATACTCTTGATGAAGGCGCTTTCTTAGTGATCGGTCTAAATACCAGCTCTGATCGTGAATGGGATCATGGTCTGCTGGGTTTTCTTGACCTTGTTCTTCTGATACCTAGAATATTCAAAATATTATGAAACTAAGCAACATATGCTGAGGCCCAATAAGGGCACTGTTCCCGCTGAAGAGTGTGGGCAATCAATAAATGTCAGGCCTTATTAAACATAAGGGCCCCTGTTGATAGAAAGAGACAAGTACTATTCAAAGACATTAAAATGAATAAACCAAAAGGTGACAAATATGGCTTTCCTTTGTCATTTACTATATAAACCATGACTGGCAGTCTGCTTATTTTTGTAAATACTATGTTTGAACAATATCTTGGTCTAGATTTGTAATGTAAGTAGGCTCAAGCTCCTTAGAAAAACTACTATACTACAGTCATTAAAAACCCGCATTCAAAACAATCCCAAAGACAGCAAGAGATTAAGCGTGTTTGTTCTAGATCCAGCATCTGGTACTACAGACTCCAGGGAACACTACCAAAGAACAGTGTGGTGACTGGCAGACTTTTTGAAAGAGTCAAATGGTCCAGAAACACAAATGATCCTTCGCCTGAAACATCCTGATTCAAACAAATCCTGGTTAAAATGACCTACTTAGTAGCAGGCAAAAGATTGAGGGTGTGCATTTCTCACAAACTACAGAATATCAACCACAGCACCTGGTACTGCAACTAGCAACATCAGTGATGAACAGGTTACAAACTGGATACACCCGTCTTTCCAGCAGCCTACAACATCCACACACAGCCCAGGCTCAACTATCTGCCAACTACAAAAAAACTTGCAATCTTTGAACTCCCCGCATCCCTCTCTAATTGGCCTTTACAAACTAATGGCCACAAAGAGGACTTGAGACGATCCTGACCTACTTCCAAGAGAGGGTGGACAGAAGTAAAGGGGACCTTAGTAACTCACTCAGAACACAGCCATCAAGGATCAAGAAATACTACCGGAGGTTTTAAAGTATTTAGATGGAATAAAAACATGCTGAGATAATGTGACAAGCTAATTTGAAGGTAGAGCACAAAAAGCTCCAAATGTACTAGTAACAGAACACAGAAGTAAGTAAAAAGACAAGACCCTTCTTTTCAGAAATATGAGCCTAATGCTTTAGAAATCCTTGTTCCTATGCAACCAGCGTCAGCCTACCCAACCTAACAGGCATGGATTTAACTTTTGAGAGTATGTATCTCCCTAGTAACTTTTACTTAGTTCTTGACATGTACCAATTCATAATATTGCTATTCTCCATGCTTTTCTTCATATGTCACGGGGCAAGGAACATACCTTCTTAAGGAATTCTCGTATCTTCTCTGTGTCTTTAGCAGCATATATGTGCCAGAGAGCTCCTGGCTTCTCTTTTCCTTCAATAAATCGCTTTATTGTGAGTTCATCTGAATCTCCATCTTGGATAGTTTTCAGGACTTCTGGAGTGAGAGAAAGCAAACATCAGAAAACAGTCTAGTTGAGAGTTAGGTCCCACTTCTATACTCAGCACTTTACCTTCTTCTTGGTCACACTGTCCTTTGGGAATTCCCACATAGACCATGACATTGGCTGCATCAGAGACATCTAAGTGCAGATTAGTTGTACCATATTTCCGATCTTCAGGAGTAATTAATCCTGCAAACAGAAATGTCTTAAGTTTACAGAAGACAACAGAGTCTGCTGTAGTCTTTCCAACTCCCTGTGAGAGCCTTGGACATAAAAGTTAAAAGCTGTCTCTCTAATCAAGTAAAAGCAAGTGAATAATACTTAGTATTAAATGACTGTATCCTTTCAACTTCAAAAGAAAATAATCTAATATTTAATTGTAAAACTTAAACCATTCCAAATACTAGAATTTCTGTCTCCAGTGGTAGGCAAGGTAGGTTCATGACAGATCCTCAAGCTGCTTAAGAACAACTAAAAATTCTGGATGAAATTATTAAAACAATTCTTGTGCTGGCAAGGAAAGAAATATTCAGAAACTAGAAGCTCAGGAAAAGTAAAATGGAATACTGAAGCAGGGATTTGCCAAAAGGTTATTTGCTCATTCAGGTGAACTCATACTTTGTTTGTCACAGCCTGGGAGGGCTCTGGGACAAGACAGAAAGCCCAGGATCCACTTAAGGAAGTATAACACAAATCCCTCTCGCACACACATGAAATGGAGGAAATAATGCCTAACAGGTTCCTTCAACTATAAAAAGGAGTGAGGTTCCTAATCTCAGCACCGGCGAGGGCCCCCCTTGTTCAGCACTCAAGCCCAGCAAGCTCTGCAGTCACTTTGGACAGCCCATCCTGACATAAGGACTCTGCTTCTGGAACGGGGAGCAGTATGGTTTGTGGTGGGCAAGGAGAGATCATCTTCTGGCCTGACAGCAGCCCCTGAAATGGCTAAATTGTTTGGAGCCAAGGGGTTTTGGCTTGCTGAGGCCTGTGGTTTTAGGAGGGGATGTGCTCCATAAACTCAATCTGGGACTGTGGTCTTAGAGTCTGTTGTGCTTTCCTTTGCAATTTGGTGAAATACCAGCTAAAGGAGTAAGTAGAAACATCAGATATTAGGTTGAAATCCTAGACTCTGTAAATCTGTTTCAAAATAGTAAAACAAAAATATAAAGGGAAGAGACAATGAAACAATAATGGCAAAAAACTTACAGCTGTAACTAAGTGATGAGTCTATGGGAAATCACTGCAATAGACACTAGTTTTGAATGCATTTAGAAAATACTTCCATACATAAGTAAAACTGAAGAAAAAACTAACATAACGAGGAAAATGAATGAACAGTTATATATGACAGCAGGGATGAATAAATATCCAGAAGTCTGAATCTATTTCGATAAAGCTCAAAACAGGCTGAAAACAAAAAATATTCTGTAGGAATACAAATATGTATGGTAAAATTATATTTGCAGGGAAAGATAAATACAAACTTAAGGACAGTGGTTAATAAAGAGGGCAGAAGGCAGGGGATAGAGCTGGGAGAAGAGTAAAGCAAGATGAACAGGTCTCTGAGGCTGCCTGCTGGTTTAGCCAGTGCCCAGCTGAATACAGAGAACTGCAAAATGAGGAAAGAAACAATACCTACCCAGCCACTGACCACAGTCCATCCAATCCCCGCTCTGGGTGACTTGCATATTGAAAAAGAGTCTACAAACTGAGGAAGCCTGAACTCAAATGGAACCAAGATTATAAAAACATGATGGTCCCAATGAAAGAATTAGTAGAAAATCCCAAAACACACCACAATGGACTTTTACAAAAAGAAACATGAGCTGCTACAGAAGGAGCCACTGGCTGATAGCACTCGGTCAGGGCAGAACAAGGGACATGCTCTCGCCAAGAAATCCAGAGACCTCAGTCCCAGACCTACCATCAGCTCTGCCCTCTGGACCCTAAGCAGGTCAGTGTTCAGGCTACTGTCCTAAAGTCCTGGTGGTTTACCACGTGATCTCTTTAGAGCCCTTTTACTGTCTGACTGGGGAGTCACAGCTCAACCACCTAACCTTTGAAAAATGACCACTCCTTAATGTTTATAAAAGGAGTCTGAAAATGAAAACGTTTTCATTATTTTCCCCCCACAGCTGCTTCCACTGGACAGCAACAGTATTGAGATAGGTAAAGCTTTTACAGAGTAACACTGCCATCTATCTATTAGTATCTAGGAGAAAAGACTTACAGCCAAGCTATTTAAACCAATTTATTTCGAAAACTATTCAGAAAACCGCCTTTACTGTATAAAACCTTAGGATTTCCTGAAGAAAGGAAATGTGACAGTATACCACGTACTTAAGCAGAAAAGGAGGGAACTTGGCTAGAAAACATGCTGCAGACCCAGAGCAGGTCCAAGTCTCTGAACTGAGATCTGAGAAGTAAAGGGAACAGGCAAGGGGACTTTTGCCTGCCATGTGCGCTCTCCCACAACCATTCCTCTCCTCACCCTATGCCCTGGCAGAACTGTATTGGCATCTCTAGACTGTGGGAGCTTCCCAACAGAAAATCCCCTCGCAGAATGATCCCTGACACCACTCTGAGCAGTCCCTGGGCTGACACCACAGTAACAGAACTGTAAGATTAAGGTCCAAGTCCTTGTTCCTGCCCTCCCCAAGTTTCTGGAGAACAAGGTTAAGATACTGAACAAGTCCATCTTTCTTCAGGAGAGCTACCACCCTCAGGAAATGGAAGTAGTTATGGAAAAGAAGAATATAATCAAGTAGTAATTTCCAAAAGGACTGGAAAAGACTGCGTGTGTGTGTGTGTGTGTGTGTGTGTGTGTGTGTGTGTGTGTGTGTGTGTGTGTGTGAGAGAGAGAGAGAGAGAGAGAGAAATAGCATAAAAGATTAAACCAAATCCACTGAATGACCTGAACAAATGATATGTCATTGAACAATAAAAATAGGTAACTCCTCCAAAATGGCCAACTTAAATCAAATTTGATAAAATCAAGACCTACATAAAGGTCACGGCAATAATGAGAAAAGATGGTTTTGTCTTTAATGTAGAAAATAATCTCTATCCCAGGCAATCCTCTTTTTGGACAGTTTACTGAACCATATATCCAAACAACAAAAGTCTAATTCAAAGGGTGCTTTTCAATACTAACTTAAGTAATTAACTTCTACCCTCCAACACAGAACATCGCATTTAAGTGGAATAGCTGGAAATGCTAGCAGACTAACCTAAATGGCCAACATTAACCCATTAGAATTTATCATGTCATGGGCCTCTCTGGTTGCGCAGGCGGTTGAGTGCTGCACTGTGATGCTGTCTGCAGCCTCTGCAGCGCTGGTTCGATCCCGGCCAGCTGGGGAGAAACCCACATGGCTCAGCACACCTCTCCTGTCTTACCTGCTGCTCCCCTCTGCAGTGTATTTCATCAGTCTGCCTGTTCTGATCCCCGCTCTGTTTCTGGTAAATCCTCTCACCCTCCCACGCATCTGGCCTATACCCCAGTTCTTGTGTAAATAAATAAATCCTTAAAAAAAAATTATCATGCCAGAGTTCTAAGCAACATATAGACTTCACAATGTTATGTGTAGAAAAAAGGAATAAAGAACTGCATAATTGCTACAACTCCAACTATAAAAAGGGGTACACATACACATAGCCAAGGAATGCAAGGAAATAAACAAAAATGAGGCCTATTACTACAAACATTAAGATTATGGCTATTTTCCGTTTCTCTCCCAAAATACATTTTCTAAACACCTTACTTGCCTTATTTCCTTTATAATTTTTCAAGTTAGCAATTTCCTTACCGTAAGCATTATACATCTTGGGACCCAGATCTGGCCTAACAAAGTAGTTCGGCAGCCTAGAGGCCAAGTTTAGTTTGCCATCTCTCCTTGTATACTCAGGCAGAGGAATATTGGCCATCAGATCATCAAATCTAGAACGAGAACCAGGAATTTACAAAATAAACTTCCTCTTCTAATTCATCATTATGAATTTAATTTTGTTTGTTCCTTCTACACTGAAAGGAACAGGTTTACCTGTACTCATAGAAATGGAAAGCTATCATTAACAATAATAGTCAACATTAGAATTACAGTAATTATGAATAAGGAAGTCTTACTCTCCTACACCACACGTATATATCAAAATGGTCTAAAGTATTTCAGAGGAAAGAATTGATCAATAAATTCTAGATAAAAAGTGTTGCCCAGGGATTAGCTCTGTGGATCTTTTTCAAGGTCTGCGCTCCATCTATCTACCAATTTGGCTCTCCTGTTGTCTAATGCAATGATATCACTACATTACACTGAAGCCTGCCATGTCTGATCCAAACGCTGTCTTCAGATCAGTGCCTGCAAGTCTAAGTCAGCCAATTCGCTGGTGGAAATATGGAACTAAAAGTCAGTAACAATTTCATCTGATTTAAAAAGCATCTCCAAAGAGTACAGACTAGAAATGAGAAATCAGTGCCAGTAAAACTGTGGAATCTTGCACATTTCCCTGAAAATTTTTCTTGCCAGCTCAAAATAGAACTTATCCTACCAAGTACAGAATAATTTCTCCACTGCTACGTAATCATACCTGGAAGGCATCATATCTCTAAAATCTTCACCTGGCGGCCAGTCCTTCAGTTTCAACACCATTGGTTCTTTTTCATTTTTCAAGCGGTCTAAAAAGCAACCAGAATAACTTAATATTCCTAATGCAGAAACATCAAAATGAATGGCAAATTACCATTTAATGCCTTAACAATGCAAATTTATTGATCTCTAAAAAATCTACATAACCTGATGCATTTAGCATACAAATATTTTCTAATACTCCCCACCTCTAATTTCCAACCAATTTATTTTATGTGCCAAGAAAACCATCCATACCAAGAAGGTGCTCAAGGAGCAGCAAAATTAAGATCGCCCACTAACTTACACTAGGGTCCTGCTGAATTTTCCAGATGCTTATTAAACTGTTACTCATTCTTGGAGATTTTAGTCACTCCCTTCTGCCCATTACCCAAAAGGGGTGTTCTGATAATTATCTCCTATAGAGCATTCTGGGAGAAGGGACCAGTTCTCCAAACATTTAACAGCAATGCAAGTCTAACAATCACATGAAAAAGAAATAACTTGTTTTACTCAAATAGATAAACCAGCTGATGATGTTGTCTAGGGACAACTGGAGCCAACAGTCCACTTTCCCTTGCCCCCTATCTTCAGGATAATGCATAATTTAGTCAAAATTATTTTCCTTTAAGAGAATTATTAACTGTTGCAGGTAGTGCCAAGGAATCAAGAACCCAGGAGAGCTCTAATTAGAAAACATACACTGATAATTACGATTAACAGGAATAACAACTGTTATTTCATTTCTTGCTGGTTCAAATCTCTGCTAAGTGGTTTAACCATTTAATCCTTAAAACTAAAGCCCAACACCCCAATGAGAGCAGGCACTAGTTAATACTCCCACTTTCAGATCAGGAAATTGACAGATGTCCAAGGTCATCAAGGTGTTAGTGTCAAACTTGGAGCTGGAACCTGGATTTGACTTCAGAACTTGTACTCGAGGACTAACATTTGTATGTTTTGGAGTCAACCAACCACTACCTCATAACCAAGATTAAACAGGTGTACATCCAGGGAGCAACAAAAACAGGAAAATGAAGGTTACACTGTATGCCTGAACACCAGCAGCACTTCCATGTGGTGTCCTGGGCTTGAGTACAGCAGAATTGTCAGTATGGAAAAAGGCAGGCTGCGGTTGACTGTGGGCTGCTATAACCATCTATAGGCAATGAAGACATCTGAGCGTCTCCAAATTAAATTACCAAGCTCACACATGCAACAAGTATATTTGAATCAGGATTTCAACCCAAGCCTAACTGGAGCTGTGCCTCCAGAGTCCCCTTTTGGGGAACTCATTGCCAAACAAAGCTTTAGGGTTTGCCTCAGCTGCAAAGAGCTGCCACACTAGGTCATGCCTTCCCAGCACAGTATCTAGAGACTGAGGGAGGTATGGGGATAAGGGCCTGCCATTTCCCACTCAGTGCAGTATGACACAAGGGAAAATACTG